GAACGTCAATATCATAGTCAGGTGACAGACCTCTCTTCCAATTGAAAAGCTGTATATCATGTAAAATTCAAATAAAAAATATTTTCCATAATCCTGTTACATTTTGGTGCTCGTGTCATATTGGCCATTTTTAGGATCACGATACTCCTGAAAAAAATCAAAATCAAATAAAGTGGTAGTAAAAATCCTTCCTGATTCTTTTTTCCTTTTTTTTTTAAGATGAATGTTAGATCAAAATCAGGCAGTACCCAAAAGAAAGACTAAATTTGAACTGTCTATAGCCATAGAACAAGTTGTTCGCAGACAACAGACATGATGACAACTTCTCCATTGGTCCTCCCAGTGTCAGGTTGCATCTTGGAGATGTGACATTTGTAAATCCCACTGCCAATACAGCAACACATGGCAACTGTGAATGTCAACTTGTCAATGGAGTGGACAAAAACTCCAAACCTAAGGGTGTTCTCCTGAGAGTTTCCACAAAAATGCACAAAGTCTCAATGTCTCGATGTCTCAATGTCTTGATGTCATTTTGGCAAAAGGTTGAATAAAAGAGTGGTTACAGGTACAAGAGTTTGATCACCTCAGCCCAGCATCATGGAATGGTTATCAGCTTAAGGATTCTATCACTAAAGCATGCATATGTTTGGCAGATATGTTAGTAAATTTTGGGAGCCATGCTTTACCGCGCTATAACCGAAGCGCTCAATAACGAGGGAACACTGTTCGTAACAATTTGTAATGTGTGTGAAAGGTCGTACGAAAATACGCTATTTGAAGGGAGCATGGCCTAAATGCAAATGTCCGATTGGGATTTTAAATTTTCCGGACCCCTGGGCAGACTCCAAACAGTGTTATGTCTATGAACAGATAGTATTGTTTGATTTTTTTAGTATGGTTTTACGCCGCTTTTAGCAATATTCCAGCAATTTCACAGCGGGGGACACCAGAAATGGGCTTGACCTATTGTACCCATGTCGGGAATTGAACCCAAGCTTTCGGCGTGATGACCGAATGCTTTAACCACTAGCCTACGCCACTGCACCAAACAGATAGAAAATATGAATATAAGCATATAATAAAAGAAATAAAGATGATATTAAAAACAGATACCTATTGTGTATCAAATACCAAAACATGTGATGTTTGTTTGTTTGTTGTCTAACACCACACTCAGCAATATTCCACCTATATGACAGCAGCCTGTAAATAATCAAGTCTCGACCAGATAATTTTGTGATGGATATTGTGGGCAACCATACCACGCCATTAGGGTACAATGACATGAAATCAACCAAGTTGCCTCTTACAACCTGCATACGTTGATGGGGACGTATTCTAACCTGGCGATGAGCATCCATAGTGCAGTGAGAGAGTAAGGTATGTTGTGCAACAGAGAGTAAGTGAGTGAGTAAGTTGGGTTTAACGCAGCTTTTAGCAGTATTCCAGCTATATCGAAGTTATAAATGTCAGCTTAATGTGGGTGGAAAGACTGAAGTGTTGCAGGTCTCAGACGTTTACCACTTCAGTGAAACCAAAGAGCATGGGTATGGTGCTGACAAACCTAGAAACATAATCAGGGCGAACCGGGATTCGAAACCCACGATCATAGATTTTGTGCAACAGAGAAGGCTGCCAATCAGGGTGTGGAGCACAATGGATGGTCATGTCAACCTATGCTGCATTACAATATACATGGCTAATCACCCATTAATCTGTCTTGAACACTGTCAGACTTGTGGTACAATGACAAAGATCGTTAGGAAGACACTCTGTCTACATAAAAATATCAAACGGACCACTACATCTCAAATATTAATTACATGACAGTGGTCTGTAAATAATCGAGGTTAGACCAGACAATCCAGTGACTGACATCATGAACATGGATCCATGCAATTTGGATACGATGACATGCATCATCCAAGTCAGTGAGCCAGACCACCGATCCCATTAGTTGCCTCTTGCTACAAGCATAGTCGCCTTTTAAGGCAAGCATGGGTTTTGAAGACCTATTCTACCCCAGATCTTCACGGTCCATCATCATCATCATCATCATCATCATCATCATAATAATAATAACAAAAACAACAACAACAACAAAAACAATAATAATAACATTGTACTACATGTCAGCACCACACTGGTGCATGCTCCAAGTGCTACATTATTATTACTCCTGTAATTGGATCAGTGTACACACTATTTTCATTTTCAGCTCCCTTGGAAGTATACAACCCAAGCTGCCTGTGAGGCACAAGAAGGTTAACAGTTGTATTACCATCTCATCCTAACGGGTACCCATTCACTGCTGGGTGAACAGACATGACAATATTGTGCAATATTACACTGAAGAAAATACAAATAAACTCATAATAAATACACTGTCCACTGAATTGTACATGTGCATTGTAATAGTGTCACTGAAACAACACATTATCTAAATGAAATGGACTATTGCAATGTTCATAAAAATAGCAAGAAAAACATAATGACAAGTATTCAACAACAGGTTTAACAAAAATGTTGTTAAGCTGATAAAAAGAGTGAGTGAGTGGAAGTTGGTAAAAGTCACAGTCAACAATATTCCAGTTACATCATGTGACGAACAGGTGGTTGACAGCATGAGCAACGATCCACACGTGGGTACAATAACACATGACCTGCCAATCAAATCCTCATATCCTCATCCTGGCCATCTCTTAAGACAACAATGAGGTACGAGGGATCTGTTGTTTCTGGGAATTCTTCCAGGGTTGCTGAAAAGGCAGGCAGATGTATCAGGGAACATAAGGATCAAAATGCATGATAACAATAATCACAGAGACATGCAGATGGAATGAACGCATAGTGTTCACATGAAGGGCTGTTCCAAAGGTAATATCACAATGTCTCATGCACAAGAAGTTATAATGACACAAGGTTCTGGGTATTGCTGTTGGTAAAATACATCATTATCACTGTTTCCATCACTTCACCCATCATCATTAAATTAACATTTTTAAAGAAGTCACGATCAATTTCACTTTCAACAAAATAGGTTTAAGCCACGATTCAAATGGTTTCAGTCATTGAGTCTATGGCACCATCTTGATGTGTGTTCTCAAATGAGTTGACATAATTCCTCAGGATGATGATTCGGAAGATGGTACAGTAATATATTTCAACAACAGCAATGAATGATTTTTGGCATGAAATTAGGTTGCCAGTACTTGCAGATGGTGATCTTCATTTCCTCTCAAACCAGGAAGCAAATATTTACAAAGGCATGTTGAGTGTTGGATTTGGTCATAACTGTTAGTGCCACTGAATTCACTTTAGTTCAAGTGAAACTATTTGTTGGTTCATCTGCTGAAGTGGACGGAAGAATTCGGAAAGAGTAGGTTTTTTCAGTTTGGAAAGAGCTCTGAAAGAGTTTTTCTTCAAATACTTCTGACCTACCGAAGGCCTGGGCCCCCTTCCACAAAGCAATCTCAGCGCTTAGATGATCATATCTTCCATACTTAAACATAGGCTTATGATAGTCATAGTGCTAAGACCAGCTTGAGGAGTGGGCCCTGGGCCTAGTTCCTTCGTTCTACAACTAATTTATGTCCAAGTATGAATGTAGAAAATGTATTTCACTAAAATCACTTTGTGGAACAGGTTCTGCACAGAGTGACCGTACGTGTCACCAGCTGGGAAGCCCTACCCCAACTGCAGTCAGGGTAAGATGGCACACTAAATGAGCCCGGTCTCACGTTGCTCTCTTAGATACCATCTCTACATTCCTGTCCTAGTGACCACAAATGTTCCATCTTAGATTTGTCTTGAAGTAGCAGGTGAGATTTTCAGGAAAGAAACTCGTCTTGAAGTTTTTGAAATATCAGATCAATTTAAATAAGTACAACGAAAATATCATCATCCTAACTTCACTTATACTGTAAGTATAAAAAGTTTAATCTTTATCAAGTCAAAATTCGTGACAACGAAAATCATAAAGCCCCAAAATGCAAACGAAGGACACCATTTGATAACCAACCAAACTCAAAACTTAAAACATCCCAAATTTCAAATACTAACAGTCTGTTCCAAAAACATTTAAGGCTACTACTAATCCTTATTTCACTCTTGGCATAATTTTCAGTCAAATTTAGTGTCTTTATATGGACTAATATTTTGGAGGTTACATCGCCAAACAGAATTTTACTAGACTCTGGCTTCGGACTAGTGGTTAAAGTCACAGACTTATGAACATTGATTCTGAATTAGGTGGTATGAAATTGAGGCAGAAAAACATATTTGTATTCCAGTAATTCTAATGCTGAAAAAGTACAGAGGATGTAATTCATTATCTTGTCTCCTGTTTAGACACAATGTGTAGAAAACATGTACTTACACTGAAAAGTTCTATTTGTTCAGACACGATAACATGTATATATTGTTGCTCCACCATCTGCAAGTACTATTCATGCAAGTCCCATCATTCTTAACCAATGGAGTATCAAGCCACATGCAAGTCTACCATGCCACAAGCAACGTAAAAAGGCAATTAAATGAAGGAGATTTCATTCTCAGATATGTTTGTTTACATGATAATGATGGTAGTATAACTTAGGATGGTTTGAGATGATTCTTCAACATGCTTCTTGCACATTTGAATCAACTTTCTAATATGCATCAATTTTCTGATACAAGATTTAGTCAAATGCCAGGGAAGTCGGAGGAATGCTCGTCTGGAGGGTGAAACCCATCTCAGCCAATAGAATTAAAGATTACAAGTTGTGTGGCTGAGGGTGGCCAATCGTCTGGCTGATTAGAAGTTATTGGATTCATAGCAGCATTAAACTGCAAAATCAGAAATTGGCCAGCATTATTAGCCAATCCGCTGGCCTGTATCATTGTGTGAGATTTTATTAGCCAATGGGGTGGCTAGTTGCATGGCTGCCTTGATAACCCCGTTGTCCTCCAATCAGCTAGAATCAACAAGCACAGCGGGCATGCAGAGCCACACAACTTACAGTTACCGGGGTTAGGAGTTCGAATCTGTCCGACGTCCGCTGGGCCTTCTCCCACTCTGTTGGAAGCAGCAACGGTGACAACATATTGTTGTGAAGGCTGGAGTTGTCCTACTGTCCATGACCGTACATCACCGAGGATGTCCTTCGTCATTCGCCGCAGACTTGGGTGGCCTACTGGGTCAATGGTGATCTTGTAGGCTACGATGTCGCCATTAGTGTAAGCAGGACGGTCCCAGGCAATAGAGAGCACTGAGGGGGATGGTGCAGACAAACTCCTGATCTTTGGGGCACTTGCTGGTACTGAAAAACAAAAGAATGGTCAACATAAGAATAGCTTGAAAACAGATATGCATTTTCCTTAATTTTTCATGGGTAAGATGTCATGATTGTCCCATCTATCGAACATCACAATTGCCTATTTTAGTTAAACTATCAATAATTAACATCAAAGCTACGCCTTTCAGAATATGTGCAAAAAGTAATAAAAACATATAATCTCCATCCCAAACAAAATACTAAATGCATACACATTACCAATCAAAGCTGCTTTTAGTGATAACATGTGAGTACATTACATCCGTGACATTAAGATGGTCCATGGCGCTAATCAATTAGATTCTTTCTGTTCATTAAATGCATTCTACACCTTCCAGTCAAGTGATATAGTAATGGTACTTATGAGCCAAATTGGTACTTTTAGAATCTAATAACAGCCATAACAGGATAACATCAGGTTTGGCAAGCTACATAAAGCAATCTGAATTTCATTTCCTACACAAAATAAGCCAGCCTCCGTGTGATACAGTGGATAGAGGGTAGAGTGTCTGCCCAGAAAGCGGAAGGTCAGGAGTTTGATCCCCAGTCACTTCATACCAAGAGACGTTAAGAAATGGTACTTGTTGTTACCCTGCCTGGCAATCGTAATTAACAGGATAAAACAAGGACTGGTCGGCTTGGAGTCAATATACTAAATGGGGTATTTATGTTAAACTGCTTGTGCTAGTCCAGACTACAGCCCAGCATGGGCTAGCACTACAAAACCATCATTAGTCTGAACTAGCACAAACAGACACACACACATTCAGGCACATTGCAAGATTAGTGCAATGATCTTGAACACAACATAAAACCCCATTCCACCTCCCCTCCTACAAAATCGAAATTCGCACAGCTCAACCAAAGAGAATGACAAGCAGACACTAATAGATGCATCCTAAAACTTCATTTCAAAATATTCTGTATAATACATGTATCCCTGTGTACAACTATTAATCACAAACACTGACATGGTGTCGTATTTTAGACAACAAATTGAATCCTCCCGTAACCAGACTGGGAAACTGAAATTGGTACTGTGTATTTTGGTCATAGTGTAATAGCCTTCTAAGAGTTTATTTGACAGGAGAACGGTACAGACATCCAAGAAGTTGAACGAAAATGTCAGACAATTCCACTCTAATCCACTGACAAGTAGTTCCAGAAATTACATGTTTGCATGGCGCCACAATCTATCTGTCACTTGCGGCACCAATTGCTTTGTCACTGGAATAATCGAAAGGGAATTAAAAGATCAGAGCTCTGTTCTACAAGATGATCTTGACACTGCACCTGTCATAAGTCTGATGTCTTAGCATACTGTAAATCTTGAAAATACAACATTCTTAGCACTAAGATTCCTTTGTCTACAGGGCTGGAACTTTCTTTGGATATTGCAAGTCATCTCAGAAAATAGGGAAACTGCATAAGTGCATTATCTGGCAGGCAGGACATTGACATTACAGGGACATTGACATCACAGTGTTCTCATCAGTGAACAATGACTGCTCAACACTCCACTAGGGTTTATCCTGTGGTTCTGGGTACTGTTGAGACTACGCCAGGACTTATTTTACCAGGATTAAACTGGGATATATTGTGAATGTGTGACAGGCAGGCACCATATGAAGAATAGTGTCTGCTTAGAGGTATGAAGTGTTGAAGACTATCAGGAAGTGGGAGAGACTCCAGGAAGAGATTCCTCAGTTTGTGTGGCATCAAACCCATCCGTTGTGCCAGTAGTGCACCACTGGTCTAATGCACCACTGCATTGTATTAGGGGAAGGAAATCCAAAGATTAGGAAACAGCTTCATCAGCTTTGTTTGACACATGCCTATCATCTGGAGAGCTTGTTGAAGGAATAAAACGGGAAATAGATATCCATACATTCATCTAAAGCATTTGTAACACTGACATGTAGATGAAGCATAGGTTGTGTCGTGTCCTAGAATTACAACACGTTACAAATACCTCAAGTTGAGAAGTGGCTAAATCAAGCATGTCAATGCTAAAATCAAATCAGTGCTTGCTTCATCAAAACAAAGTGAGGAATTCCAACAGGCATTCATAATTCCTGATTATGCTTTTTATTGAGGTGAGGTGAGATGGGGTTTAACGTAGCGTTCGAGATTATTGCACTCACATAGCAACGTGCATGCACATGATTTGTGTGTTTATGTGTGTGTGAGCCGACCAGTCCTCATTTATCCCCTTAATGATGAGCACCAGGCAGAGCAACAACAAGTACCATTTTTGGGTATGTCTCTGGCATCAAACCAAGGACCTGCTCTTGGGCAGTTGCTCTATCCACTACACCCAGGGGACAGTTGTTAATGCTATATACACAAGAGAGTGAGAAGGAATATTTTTTTCATTTCACATATCCAAATCTATACTAAAATACAGTCCATAAATTCTTTTATTACACGGTACATTTATCTTTTGTAAAAAATCCTCTGTAATGCTGATTTCATACAGATAGCCAGACTCAACTATTTGTATAACCTGGATTGGTTTGGATCCAACTAAACACAGGTATGGTGCATGACTAGTCCAAATCAAATAGTTGCACATTGTTAAGCACTTTATATTAAGCTGACAAGACAAAATGGTTTGTGTTTCATTTTAGACCAGCCTTTTCATATTCATGATTTGTTCCAGAAAATATTGTGAAAAAATAATTTCTTGGGTTTTACCACACAAAGTTTTTTCACTGGACAATATGGATGTTCCAAAGCACATTTTGTCATAAAAAATATAATTGTCTGGCTCCTCCTTTTAAAGTTTAAATGAAAATGAATTCTGTCCCAAACAAAAATAAAAATTCCCAGCCCAACATATCTGAAGATTAACTTTTAAAAAGTCCCTGTATGAAAGAGCACTGACCAGACAGGTTTTCAATGATTGCAACTGCCTTGTTATCAAGAACAATGAGCATGACATGGATTATTCCACCAACTGATACACATTTCATATTTCTTGCTCCAGACCAGCTCAGTGTTGTTTTTAACTTTAGTAATTTCATTTTTTCCCAATAAAAATGAAGTGAAACACTTCATCTTAACATAGTGAATGCTTCAACAGCCTCGCGTGAGCCCTGAAGTGTGTATTCATCATCACGGAATAACGATCCCCGAATGACAAAAAAATTGACAGTAACAGAAATCAGGGAATGACATTGAGAGCGTCTTTGCTGAAAGGTTCCGTCATGTTAGGCTCCAATCCAAATGTCCAATCATTATCAGTAGAAAAGTGGGCCTTAAATCCATCCTAATCGATTCATGCCATAACTATACTAGGATACAGTCATATGAATAGAGCCTTTTAGATAATTTTATCGAAACCACTCAGCACCAGCTGTCTTGAGGTTGATAATTATGATGGGTCAGATCACAATGGTGGTCAGACAGCTCACTTTATTATGTATTTTCACTACTAGCAGAGGCATTATGATCACTTGTACATATACCACTCAAAAGAAATTAAAGAACACACATTTCTTCTGTCATGACTGATTAACTATAGTAATATGAAAGAATCATGCTCTTTAGGTTCTTTTGAGTAGTATATTTCATTAAGTCAACAGAAAGGTCATAAAAAAAGTTTTTTTAAGCAAAATCAGCACAATGTGAATTTAAGAAAGAAAATATCGATTTAGTAGTCATTTATGTAACTAAGGCTAAAGAAATCTACAAATTCCAAAACCTAAATATATTATACAATGTAACCTCCAATAATTGCTGTAACATTTATAAAACCACAGCAAAAATAGTCACTGAATGCATGTATTAATAGAAAGACGTTAATCACTCTCACATATCCTGAATCTTTATCATGCTGCAATACTGCTCCCCCTCACCCTTGGCCTGGCCACTATTGACTGGCAGTGTGAGTGGGAGAGGCAATATCGTCCCACACATTGATCAGCCAAGAGATAAGAATCACCACCAACTATGTGAACAAACACTCCTCCACTGAAGAGTGGGAACCCATCACTGACCCACCAGTCAAGGAACTAGTGGCTATTGAACTATTGTCGCCAGTACAACCCTGCTTATCTGGACACCAACTCTTGTGAAAAAGTGTCCGTGTGTAAAAATAATTGACAGATCTTTGACATTGATTTATCAAACAACCTGACTTTTAGTATTGAAAACAAGGGCTTAGAATAATTAGCTGAAAATTCAGCAGAGAATACACAATACCAATTTTTGTAAATAAAAAAATAAATAAATTAGTGTCCACTATTTTACATAAAATTCAACATTATACTTTTAATGTGGGGTAAGTGAATTAAGGTAGCTATGTGGGCATATAATTTGAAATAATATGGTTGTTTTTCACCCAGAATGTGATATGTGAAGACAAGTCTTAATAGTATTTCTGAAACCAAATGATTGTAACTTCCATGAAGAAGCTTAAACCAGAACTTTCTCAATCAAAAAATGGCTATACCATTTAATTCTGAGGTCATATTACAGGCATATATATCTTAATGTTGTCTTTTTCACATTGGTGTATGTTTTGAAGGCATAACTGTTAAAAAGCTTGTAAAGGTTTTGTCAAGTTAACGTTTTTCTCTGGTAATAGTTTTCAATGGTATTATCAAGTTAGAGACAAGGCAACCCTATCAATGTCACATTATGCAAGAAACTTGGAGAACAGATTGACTCAGTCACAAGAGAGTGAATAGAATCAATTTGCAAATGTATGACACTCATCCACCATGTCTAAACCATATTTTTCTATGATAATGAAATCTGCTGTCTGCAACAGTGAAGAGCCTATCCAGACAAACACATTGGTTCTTGACCTATAAAGTGCTGTCTGTTGGGCTAACTAACATTATCTTAATAATTGCACAGAAATTATTACTACTATGTAAATCCCAAAAGTGTGTTAGAAATGTTCAAATTCATGCAGATCACTGAAGACTCACTCATTAAAAAAATCAAACTCTTGCTTTGATGCAAAGAATTCCTGAATACTTCTCAAAGATCCTCAGGAAAAGAATTTTACTTGACTAAAAAAGATAATATGATTGTCGATAAAACAGTAGTCCTATTATTATTCTTATAAGACATTAAAAGCACAAAAATTATCAGTTTTATCAACACCAAACACTTGAATTGTTTGATAGGCATTTCTTAGAAGTTGAAGGCTGACAAAGTAGACACAATTTAAGGATAACAACTTCTTTACTTACTGATGGTGATGTTTCGGTAAAGATCTTTATACCATTGTCAAGCAAGGACAACAGTATAAAGAGCCCAAACATCGCCATCACAGTTAAAAAAAGAAGTTATAAATTTTGTTTACTTTAACACCAAACACATTTTGAATTAGCCCAAATTAACTTGACATGTCTTGGTGCGTGAAGCTTCATGCAATATGTGGGGGAGCAATCTTGGTGAGATCCATATCCTGTGGTCAACTCTTGGGTAAAGGTCCATTTCCTTGCCCTGATGTGGCCCTCACAGCTGTATAGGGGACAGTCAACAACTCAGCTTGCTCCATTTCCACTACAATTTGCATGTCTGATGCATGATGAATATTCATGAACTTTCACCAGCCTATACTCATTACTTGTGATGCACAACATGAAAACACTCTGTTGCCCATCACACTCTGGTTCCTCGCTCACCCTCAGTGCCATCTTGGTTTAATCCTCTTCTTAGAGGCAAAGTCTAAAATTCTTTTACAACATTCTTGCCAGCTTAACCTACAATACGAACTGATGACAAAACTATGGTGTGTCAAACATTATCTAAATATCTCAATGCTTTCATCTGTTTTTGTTCTAAAATGTACCGGTACACAATTGACAATTTTGGTCACTAATTCATTTTGTTAGGAACTACTTTACACTTGTCAGAGAGGTAAACAAAGTATGTGATCTAAACTACCAGTTGTCAGACTTTCATTTTAAGTGGTAGCCTCAGTGGCCGAGTGGTTTAGATCACTGCCTTTGTGTGCTGGTGATAAGGTGCCTCACTCTGGCAGAGTGGGTTCGAATTGCAGATGTTCCCTTCACCCAAACCTATGGATTCACCTGCAGTGCTGGACAAACTAGTGGCAACATAAACAGGTTTAAGGAAGAGAATTTAAGGATGTCAACCTCTTTACAATGAGGAACACAAGGTTTCAGGAGACATTTTTCATGCATTCACCTGATAAAGGAGTAAGTATTTACTACAAAATGTTGTGTTCCTCATAATAAAGAAGTTGATATCAATAAATTCTCTTCCTCATGTGCATCATTTCTAAATGCCTTTCAAAGACTTGATAAACAGTTTTGTTTGTTTACTCAACATTATTCAAGTCAGTGGTCTGTAAATAATCAAATGTGGACCAGATAATCCAATGACTGACATCATGAGCATCAATCTATGCAATTGTAATATGATAACATGCCTCAACCAAGTCAGTGAGCCTGCCAACCCAATCTTGTTGTCACCTCTTACAACAAGCATTGGTTGCTGAAGACCAATTCTACCCAGATCTGCACAGGGTTCATATAAATAAGTGATGACTTTTAAAGTGTGACATGAGAATTCTTACCTCCATGGGATAAAGTCGTGATGGGAAATGACTCTGGTGACATTATGAAATACTCAGTCTGCGGACTGATCACAACCAAAACTTTGAACTGAAAGACAAAAACAGGCCTTTTTGAATGATGTTCTTGCTAATCATCTACCTGTAACTGACAGGTCCTTAAATTCATTAATCCAGATATATTATTTTCATAGGTAATATCTAGTACTTTCACCTTATCTCTGACACCAAATTATCTAAAACATATATTTTGCCACCTGCATCTTGACAAGATGGCAAGGAAGATATCCATTAAACATGAACACAAATTGGTTTAACTCTCCAACTGAGAAAATCAGAAAATCATCTGTAATCGGCGCACGTTTTCTTATCAGTATTTCTGAATGATGTATCCATGGCATATTCCTGAAGGTTGTAATAAAAGATGTGAATATCATCATTGACGACGAAACACTGTCACTGTTCATAAACAGGAGTAAGTGTTTGCTCGTTATGCTGAAGACCCGGGTTGTATTCCCAAAATGGGTACAGTGTTTGAAGCCCATTTCTGGTGTCCCCTGCCATATTATTGCTTGAATAGTGCTAAGAGTGGTATAGAACCATACTGACTCACTCACTCACTGTAGCTCCACATGCATTATGGGAAATAATGTAAAACAGACAACAATCAATAACTTGTAAACTGAAAATAAGTAAGTTTGAATTGCAATACAAAAAATCATGGTGCTTTCAATAGCAGAAGCACTTCTCAGCCATAATAAAACGTGATCCTCCATGAAAAGTTCAGATTAACTGGATAAAAGGAATATAGACAAGAAGCCTCAATTTAAAATATATGTATAAATGAAGGATCAAAGGTAGGAACTGGATAAGAAAACTCAACATAGAACCAAATCAGATGTCAAATCTTGTCTGCAGGATTGACTGCTAAATGAAAAATGTCACCTTCATTGACCTTAGGTTTGTGAAGACATGGAACGTCAAAGTTTATACGAAGCTTGACACATCATGACATAAAATCAAAAGGACCTTCAGTACAGGTGAGCTGTAAATATACTTTTGATTGAAAGCTATCCAATAGAACTTACTTTATATGTGACATAGGGGTGTAGGTTGGAGATGTATATAGAGTTCCCCTCAAATCTGGATGAGTTGTGGATCTGCCAATCACTGTTCACTTGTGGTATATCCAGTATTCTCCTGTAGACCAGGTATGTTACCTTCTCCATCATGCGATTGGTCCACTGTAGCACAATGGAGGAGTAATTTGTGCTGGATCTTTTGAGAGTTGGTTTTGGCAGTGGTCCCAACTGTCCTGAAACAAAAATGATAATGTCATAAGCTCATAAGCTCATACACCAAAGGTTAAGGTCAATATCGCTTATTTTATATAATGTCATCCAAAACTGAAAATTCATCGCAATGCTTTGCAGACCATTCTGAAATTATCCGTTACCATGAAATCACAATCAAAATACATCACTAATCCCTCTGCTACTGAAGCTGGCTAGTTGTACTTTTCACACTCAAGACACTATTTACAAACTGAAAAGTTGGAAGAATGAGTTTGGATGATATAATCATCTTACCCTCATTTTTTATATCAAATATATCAACATTCATAGATAAAAACCTCAGAGGTTTAAATGTTATTGACTCGTAGGGACAAATTTGATATCAAAAGACACTCAGGTAAGATTCTCTACATATATTTCTCTCAGTGAGGTAAAAAATACAAACTAACCTTTCTCAACATTTGTCTGATAACAAATAGGAACGAATGTTCATTTTGTAGGCCAATGACCAGAGAACAACGAAACACAACAGGTAATGCCATGTGCACATAGCAGGCTGCATTCACATCTCCAGGGCCAACTTGCTCAAAGTGATCTTAGCACTAAGATGACCATAGCTCCCATACTTTAACATAGGCTTACAACAGTCATAGTGTCTTGTGCATGTGGGCCAAGATGATCAATCATGTAGATCATTTCTACTATTCCAAGGCATACCTTCAACAAAGGATAGGTCACTTGCTTCATATCCTGATCAAAAGGTATGAGATGAGGTGAAATTGGGTTTAACGTTGTGACCAAGATTATTGCACTTATATAGAGACGTGCATGCACTTGTGTGTGTGTGGCTGCTTGTACTAGTCCGGACTGATGCCACTTTATAGTGCTAGCACACTGAGATACCATGCCACAGTTTAAAATTAATACCCCACTCAGACACAGTATACTGACTGTGAGCCAACCAGTCCTTGTTTTAGCCCCTTAATGCCGAGTGCCAGACAGGGTAACAACAAGTACCATCATTTAACATCATTTGGCCAGGTTTCGAATCCCGGACCTTCTGCTCTCCGGGCGGACACTCTACCACTAGACACCACGGAGGCGGTCTGATCAAAAGGTGATTACAAGGATTGTTACTATGCAAACCTTCTAGAACCAGCTTACAAATGGCAAAGAAATTGCATCATAAGACTTACTTTCAACACTGTCACCATAGTAGTCCAGTGCCCTCAAGCAGCCTTGAATACAGTATTGCCTCTGTGGAATAGAATTGTTGGAAGGATAATAATAAGTATTTTGTCATGTTAATTATTTTGCAAATGTAACACACAAAAGACATTAAAATTATATATTTTGGGTTTGATTGAAAATTTGATTGGATTCTTTGAATCATTGTGATTGGAACATGGCGCAAGATGTCTTCATTCTCAAAACTCAACCCTGTCGACAATGTTTTATTGGTTTATTATGTGTCGTTCCTCATGATATACTGACCAGTCTTATTGAAGAATCATGTGTGAATTTAAGTTACCACATATGAAAAATATTTTCTTCACTTCATATTTGTAACATCAATAACAATCAGTTGTAAGTACTAGTTGCATAAATAGGCACTCACATATCCAAGAGGAGTATGCTGAAACACATCCTGCCTCTTGGCTCCTATCCCAGTTGGTCTACATCAGGATAACTATCTTTAATTACATTATCACCATTGAAGATAAAATCATGGACCAACTGTCTTCATCGACAATGTCCTTTCATGCCCCCGACCTTTCCATTTAGACCAAACTGGGAATAATGGATTTCCGAAACCTTCTTCAGACATCTCCATAAAGATAGCTTTTAAGTACAATTGGTTATTAGTTCTGATGAAGAAAGTATGTGAATCTGCAGACAATGCCAACACGGTCCGAATGGTCTGACCAAATCAATTGACTTCGTTACTGAGGGGAGCTATTTAAGAAATAGTAAGTGAGATGAAATATCAAATTATTATCAGCAGCTAGGCTCTGGCTCTTGTCATATTTACATCGTCACGTTTAGAAAGAAATTAAATAGGAAATATATTTTTAAACAGCCCTTTAATAATATTATGTGGGAATAGAACTTTCCTTAAATATTTTACAGTTAGATCCTTATGACATCATGATTGTATCTGATAACATTTTTGAAAAACTTATCACATTCATAATTTTATTAGACCAGACCATTCTAATAACAGATCCTTGTCACTCTTTTGACACCACCACCCCTCCCAAAGGTGAGGTGAGGTGAAATTGGGTTTTACATCGCGTCCAAGATTATTGCACTTATATAGCGACGTGCATGCACGTGTATGTGTGTGTGTGGCTGCTTGTACTAGTCCGGACTGATGCCGATTTATAGTGCTAGCTCACTGAGATACCATGCCTCAGTTTAACATGAATACCCCACTCAGACACAGTATACTGACTCCGAGCCGACCAGTCCTTGTTTTAGCCCCTTAAGGCCGAGCGCCAGACAGGGTAACAACAAGTACAATCTTTAAACGTCTTTTTGTATGACGCGGCCGGGGATCTCTGGGGGGACGCTCTACCACAAGACCATGGAGGCGGTCCCTCATAAAGGTAATCTAACAGGACATATTTGTGTGTAGTGACCATTATCCAAAGTCTCTCCTCTTTGATCCAGCAAATACTTAACTTGAAGTGCAACGACAGCTTTAGACAAACACTAAGTCTCTGAAAAATATATAATTCTTACAGAAACAAACAACTACATTTAAATTGTAAAGGAGCCCCAGTGAGATGGGAGATTACGAGACTGAACCTGAGGAAAATCTAGACTGGCTTCATGTAGAGTCTTTGCATTACAGAAAGGGCTAGGCAGAAGGGAAAATATTATGGTTCAGGAACTGTAAGACAGACTAGGAAAGCTTCTCCTCTCCTTATGATGTGGATGTTTATTACAAAGAATGTATGGTGATATGCAGAATGCATTAACAAGTTTAGTCATTGATATTTTCATTTTTGTTTGTATACTTTTCCTCCTTCCTTCAGGTACTTGGGGGATAAATATCCACAAAACAATTACTCAAACTGGTCTGGCCTTCAGATGGTTGTACGTGACTGCAAGTATTTTGTTGAGTTCACACAAATACTTGTACTGCATTTTTACTGCAATATCTCCTGACATATCTGCATGTCGGTATGACTCCCAGCACTTATTTAAGTCTAACATCATGAACTCCCTGCTTGTTGCAGAAGTGTATACGTAAATAAGAAGTCTGAAACAAGCACATATTTGGTTTCCTTTCTGCTGCTGATGGAACACCAATTCACAACCAAACTTGCATTTGTAGTTTTGAAAGCTTACTGATTGTAGAAGCTGATAAGTAGTTTACCTGTGTTCGTGTTTCTGCTTCACTTGCACTGGGCTGGTCCTGCAGTGACAAAAGCATATACATGATACCACACAAATATATGCTTCTATGGTCTATGAAAGATATATAAGCATATGTTAAAAAAGGGTGAATTTTCCACCACATTTAATAACTTTGTGCATAAAAAGGACAAAAACAATTATTGAATGTTGGAAGACCAAGACACTGTCATTTAGACATGGATACACGAGTGAGTGTGTGAGTTGGTTTACTCTGCTTATAACAGTATTTCAGTCATATCAGGGCCTATCAGCTAGGGCTGGGATGGGTAACTCAGGTACCCAGGTTTCGCTTTCTGTTTGGTAGGCATGTCACAAGTTCCATCCTACTTCAACATGCAAGTAAACCCTCCTGCCTGTATATATATGACCTGTTCTTGGCAGAGCTGGCCCTGCTGGTCGTGTGACAACTCATTATATTGTAATCTGCCTACTAAATCAACCATATAATGCAGATGTGGACCAAGGCAGCAATGTAGAAATGATCACATTTCCGACCTGGAGCAGTATCTACAGAATGTGTTAGAAGCCAGCACAGATCTATCACCCTGGTCTATTTACAGGCCTCTCAGGCTTCAGCCCTACAGCCACCGGGTTCAGAAGCTCACCTTCACTACCGAGGACTTCCAACACAACATGGGACAGGACTCAAAATGAATTGACATTTGTTTGAAACAATTCAAATTGAAATTAAATGAATAATCAATCATTACATGCCAGCTATGTATAGAAATTAATAAAGAAAATTCAAGTGACAAATGACAGCCACCAGAAGATGTATGTGAGGTAATTTTAACAAAAAGCGTTGTAATGATTTTCCTTCAAACTAAAAGCCATTTGCAATATTATTACCCTTAAAGCAAGGCTAATTTATTTTATTGCTTAATAAATAATTAAATGCTTTTGGTCAATTTATGAAAAAGGCACTTGATGACAAGAATGGGTTGTTAGATTTGGCTTGAGGTTAATTTACCACAGTACAAGTATTAAAATGGTTCAAACCAAAAGGCATCACATAGCATATGAGTGAGTTTGGGTTAATCCCACAATGAGTATTTCAGTTATAATACAGCATCCTGAAACCGATAACCATGGGTATGATGTTGACAAAACTAGAAACTTCACCATGCCGACTTTAGGATTCAATGCCACTATCAGAGAATTTTAGCATGCCTTTGGGTGGGATGCACAGTGAACAGCAGTTCCACAGATGAAATGACCAGCTGTGCCTCCCAAAAGTGTATGAATTAACAGGTTTGGCCTGATTATGAAATAAAAAAACCGTAGCACTGTTTTAACAAGATACCTTCAACAACCCACAACCCCTTGTCTATCTTAAGAACCATACATGTACACATGTATAAACAATCACAGTAAACAAAGGCAATCTGATAGAGAAACCATGCTGACAAATAACATTTCTTTTCATAAACAAATACATTGCAATAAAATTAATAATGAGAAAATGGTTGGTTCAATATTTGAAGGAATTAAGCTGGATCATGCATGACAAGGGAACATATCACCTCCAGAAGCCACCCATAAGCATGGGGGTGTGATTTGATGGCAAACATACAGAACTAACAGTAGATCATGATTTATCTGACAAATAACCCTAATAATAAGGTGTAAAAGATACTACTTTTAATATATTCTCTGAAAGTTTTCTCAGTATCAAAGGTCTAGATCCTATCGGTTCAGACATAAAGGTTATTCTCAAACAACACAACATGTTAATAGATATTTAGTGTTGATCCCAATCACTCTAGTGTGTTTGAAGTGTTGAAGATTATTATACTTTATCGTAATGATAAATGTGTTTTTGTATTAAGCCAAAGCAAATTGACGATGACTGGCCAGAAATCCAATAAATTTGTGAGCCTTCAAGCTAAAAAGATCTCTTCCCTTTCTGGTTGCATAATTATGGGTCAATTATTTAAAAATAGATTAATTACACATCATATTTAAATATCAGGCGAAGGATGCCAGAGCCTTTACCTATTTGTGGAACCACAAGCTTAAAAAAAAGCAGAATTTGACTTGGGGCTACTGGTGAAACTTCAGTTGTCTTCTAATAATTCCTGGTTTGTGATGCAAAATCACAAATATGGAAACATAATGATTGTTAACTAAATCATGCTTTAATTACAAGAAATTGTGATGGTTCTTTTTCAAGATCTTGATACATAAACTGATGCATTCTCCTGTATGCATGCATGCGTAAGTGAGTGAGTGAGTTGGGTTTAAAGCCGCTTTTAACAGTATTCCGGTAATATCACGGCCTGTCAGCTTAATGTGGGAGGAAAACTCGAAGCGATGCAGGTCTCAGACCTTTACCACTTTGGTGAAACCTAAGAGCACGGGTATGGTGCTGACAAACCTAGAAACATAACGGGGTGAACCGGGATTCAAACCCACAATCATAGGTTTCTGGCATGCCCAAGGGATGCAACTCTGCACAGCGAATCACAGCACCTTATACAACTTGGCCACCTATGCCCCCTGAATGCATGTGTATCAAGATAATGCATATATATATGTCTAAAATAATGAGAATAACTTTGATAAGAAAACAAACAACTGTTATGTCATAACATAAATCACAAAGAAGATTACCTGAGGGATTCGTTTTGTGCAAGCCATCTGGCAGTTTGATGATAGTGCATCTTGGTATCGGGTACATCCATCTTGGCACTGGAAAACACAATACCACAGTTACAATAATATTTCCTCTGACCAAAATCCATATCTTCTGTGCTACTATCACAGATGGGAGTGTGACAGATTTCAATCATACATAAATGGGTGACAGAGACAGATGGATGATACATTTCCATGACTGATAGGTGGATGAACTCACACATAGTTGGATATATTTCCTTCACAGATAAATGGATGTTATATTTCCTTCACAGATAAATGGATGTTATATTTCCCTCACAGATAGGTAGATGATATATTTCCCTCACAGATAAATGGATGTTATATTTCCCTCACAGATGGATGTTATATTTCCCTCACAGATAAATGGATGTTATATTTCCCTCACAGATAGGTAGATGATATATTTCCCTCACAGATAAATGGATGTTCTATCTCCCTCACAGATGGATGTTATATTTCCCTCACAGATAGATGGATGACATATATATCCTTCACAGATAGACGGATGACATATTCCCCACATAGATAGATGGATTATATATTTCCCACACAGATGGATGTTATATTTCCCTCACAGATAAATGGATGTTATATTTCCCTCACAGATAGGTAGATGATATATTTCCCTCACAGATAGGTGGATGTTCTATCTCCCTCACAGATAAATGGATGACATATATATCCTTCACAGATAGACGGATGACATATTCCCCACATAGATAGATGGATTATATATTTCCCACACAGATAAATGGATGTTATATTTCCCTCACAGATGGATGTTATATTTCCCTCACAGATAAATGGATGTTATATTTCCCTCACAGATAGATGGATGACATATATATCCTTCACAGATAGACGGATGACATATTCCCCACATAGATAGATGGATTATATATTTCCCACACAGATGGATGTTATATTTCCCTCACAGATAAATGGATGTTATATTTCCCTCACAGATAGGTAGATGATATATTTCCCTCACAGATAGGTGGATGTTCTATCTCCCTCACAGATAAATGGATGACATATATATCCTTCACAGATAGACGGATGACATATTCCCCACATAGATAGATGGATTATATATTTCCCACACAGATAAATGGATGTTATATTTCCCTCCCAGATGGATGTTATATTTCCCTCACAGATAAATGGATGTTATATTTCCCTCACAGATAGATGGATGACATATATATCCTTCACAGATAGACGGATGACATATTCCCCACATAGATAGATGGATTATATATTTCCCACACAGATAAATGGATGATATATTTCCCTCCCAGATGGATGTTATATTTCCCTCACAGATAAATGGATGTTATATTTCCCTCACAGATAGATGGATGACATATATATCCTTCACAGATAGACGGATGACATATTCCCCACATAGATAGATGGATTATATATTTCCCACACAGATAAATGGATGTTATATTTCCCTCCCAGATGGATGTTATATTTCCCTCACAGATAAATGGATGTTATATTTCCCTCACAGATAGATGGATGACATATATATCCTTCACAGATAGACGGATGACATATTCCCCACATAGATAGATGGATTATATATTTCCCACACAGATAAATGGATGATATATTTCCCTCACAGATAAATGGATGATATATTTCCCTCACAGATAAATGGATGTTATATTTCCCTCACAGATAGATGGATGACATATATATCCTTCACAGATAGACGGATGACATATTCCCCACATAGATAGATGGATTATATATTTCCCACACAGATAGGTAGATGTTATATTTCCCTCCCAGATAAATGGATGTTATATTTCCCTCACAGAAAAATGGATGTTATATTTCCCTCATAGATGGGTGGATGACATATTTCTCTCATAGATAGATGGATATATTTCCCTCACAGATGGATGGCATATATATTTTCATAACAAATGGATGTGTGATATAGTCTGTCATATGCTCTGTACAAGAAGAGCCATACAGTATGTTGTGCAAGCACCAAGTGACAACCAGATCCTCTCAGCTTGCTTGCAGGTACGCCACATTTTCAACACCGTCCCACTAAGAGGGACAAATGTGTGGCACAGATCATAATCTACCAATTTCTCTCACTTTGAAACATGAGATGTCTAATTTCCATGTGGTGATTATTTTTGTTTACAACCATGCACAGTCAGAGGATAGGAATGTGACACAAACCATTTAAACACTGTACTCGTAAACATTAACTTTTCTCAAAGGTCTGTTGCTGACCTACCACCCTTTATGTCAGAAGATACATTATAAGATGTTCCCAAATTGAATCATAACAAAAATCTCTTTAATCATTCTAAGAACTAAGAACTAAAACAGTACTTAAAACACATGCTTTCTTAACGACAAGAACAACAGTACCAATTTGAAAAATATCTCACACATATTTCCTCTGCTTGTCAATTGTTTGAAGTTCAAGGTAAACATGCCTTGTGAAGTACACTGTGTGTGCTAATTAGAGAATAACTCATTTGAAGTGTTGAGGTAGTGAGTGATAGAACAGGGGGTTACAATTCAGTAACATGTCAGACACTGTCCTTGATGAGATGAGCCAGTGCTGAATGCATGCTCACTTACACTGCCAGGTACGATATCACACTACTACAGCCACTTTCTGTAGCAAGTGAGCCGTGTTAGAACTCTATTGCCACCATTAGACATGGCTTGCCAAAACAAAATGAATTCTGTATTTCATGATGTGGCAACACTGCGTTTCTTCCTCAAAACTCAAAACATGGAGTTATTCTTCTATTCTAGACTTTGTAGATATAACCAACAGCGATAGATTTTTGCGGTATGAAAGTTTGTTCATGACTGAATTCGGAGATGTTTGATATTTGTTTATTTTATTCTGCTCTCAGCATCATTACAGCTGTATGATGCCAGCCTGTAAATAATCAAGCATGGACCAGACAAACCAGTGATTGATACTATGCCAGCCTTCCACTCTGCTGTCGTATAACAAGCAAACAACCAAGCCTGGCCACCTGATCCGGTATGTTGCCTTGTACAAGTCACTGTGCATCAATGGAGTTTGTTTTGTTGTTTAACACCACACTCAACAATATTCAAGCTATATGATGATGGTCTGTAAGTAATCACGTCTGGACCACACATACTAGTGATTGACATCATGAGCATCGATCCACGCAATTGGGACACGATGACATGCATCAATCAAGTCAGAGAGCCTAACCACCCGATCCCATTAGTAGCCTCTTACAACAAGCATTGTTGCCTCTTACAACAAGCATGGGTTGCTGAAGACCTATTCCACCCTGGATCTTCAGGGGCCTGGGGCATCAATGGAGGAACATTCTAAAACACAAGCATTGTTGACACTGAAAAGTTGTATAAATAATCCATGACCGGTTAATCATTTTTTAATAGGAACCAGGCAAAACCAGCAACAACTGAAACAGGCACCCAAGTCCTGGGAAGGAGATCCCGTAGACAACATTTAAAGCCAAGCACCGAGACATTAGTGCAAGGACTCCAGGAGTTGGGCAGCAGCAATGAGTGTGCAGGTCTGGGTGTATCTGTGGCATGCTGGGACTCCATCAGCCTACATCGACAGGGATAATAGCTTTGCAGCAGGGAGCAGGGAACTACAACGGCAACAACATTTGGTTGCTATCAAACTGCCCTAAAGAGCAACCTTCCAAACATTTCTCAACAAACAATATTGTAACCATTGCTTAGAAATTACACAACCAGTCCTCTTCTGTTTTTGTCATAAAGCATGGCACTGCATGATATTGATAGGGAAATCATATTCACGAGAGCTACCACTTGTTTATGTTCCAAGCATACAGGTTGGGTCACTTTACAGGCATCAATGTATTCTTTTGTTTTGCTTGTTTGTTTGTTCTTTAATGCCGCACTCAGCAATATTCTACCTATATGACGTTCGTCTGTAAATAATCATCTCTGAACCAGTAATAAATAAACCGTATATTTAAATAATTAAGATTTCATAAACGCTAGAACACAGATAAATTTTCTTTCATTTTGAGGAATAAAAAGACCTACATATTTTTACACTCCTGCCGATCTCTTCATGCCTCAAGCCAACCTGTCTTTTTAACCTTGAACATGTCCCTTGTAATAAAGGTATTCCATGACCCAGATCAATCATTCCTTATAGCATTTTACGATATTTGACTTAAAAATCAATACAACATGACCATTCTACCACTATGATTTATTTCAATCATGGAAGGCCATAACCTTTCATGTTTCAGTCAATTGGCCTCTGTCATCAGGTAGCAGTACAGGATTCCTATCAGCAGATCACATCTTTTCAGCCAGTGACCCCTGATGATTGCGTGAGTCTGTTTCAAGTGATCACCCACTGCAGTCCTCTACGATTAGTCCAGACCTCCTTCTCGTAGTCTCCCTGCAAACAGGCCTGAATGCTGTGTGCATGATATTTCAATTATGATTTAGTCACTTGAGCCTCTTCAATGTTAACCTCAGGGTAGATGATTCTTCATTGCATGTGCGGGAGACTTTTCATCATAAAGAGGTGCAGAATGCAAAAAGGCGAACTTTGCGGTTGTTATGGGAATTTGGTGTTCTGATGTCAGTTCCATATATGTTGTACGCAAACTACGCCTCTGTAATTGGCTGTCTACATGCAACACCATATCTTGATCGTTGTGCCCACATGACTTTTCATTGACAGCAGGAAATGAGAGAAAATCAGGTTTGTTTGTCACCAGAACAGTAATCATTATCAGTCCTTGTTCCTGAAATCTAACTAAATGGGTGAGCAGTTGGCATCTTGTAACAACCATAAACGTTGGTGGGCTAGCCTGTTCATCATAATAACATGTTGGCAGTACTTGCTTGTTTGTGGGTCTATTTGTGGGCACTAGTTTGAAACATAAATATTTCAATGGATTTCTTTGGTCTCAGTTTCAGTTTCATTTTATTTAATGCCGCACTCAGCAATATTCCAGCTATATAACAGTGGTCTGTACCGG